ACCAGCAATCAGCAAAAAAGAATGAGGAAGGTTGGTGGATCTTGCCAACAGGAAAAATTTGGATTCCAGCCTCCTTAGGCTATGAAATAATGAAAGCCCTTCATGCTAATACCCATTATGGATCTTCCAGTCTTGTTAAAGCCTTAGACCGCTGGGCTCATCTGGAACGGAAGACAGCATTAGCAGACCTCGTGTGCCGTCAGTGTGTTACCTGTGCCCGAAACAATCCTAGAGAAGGTCCCCGACGACCTCCAGGAATCAATACCCCAGGACCAGCCCCAATGACTTCGCTTGTTGTTGATTTCACCGAGATGCCAAAAGTTGGTCGTCATCACTACCTGTTGGTGTTTGTCTGTACGCATACTGGATGGATAGAAGCGTTTCCAACTGCCACTGAAAAGGCCTCAGAAGTTGCCCGAGCCATGTTAAGGGATCTAATTCCAAGATTCGGATTACCTACCTGGGTTTCCTCTGATAATGGACCAGCCTTCATCTCTGAATTAACTCAGCAAGTTGCCAAAGCCTTAGGAATCATCTGGAAATTACACTGTGCCTATCGTCCCCAGAGTTCAGGAGCAGTAGAACGAGCTAATAGAACTCTTAAAGCCTCCTTGCGGAAGTTCACCCAAGAGACTGAACAGCCATGGCCTAAGATTCTACCTCTAGTGTTATTCCGACTGCACTGCCTCCCTTCCAAACGAACTTCAGTTTCTCCTTATGAGGCAATGTTTGGCCGTCCTCCCCCACTGACCATGGGAGTTCATACCGATGCTTATGGGTTTCATCAGTTAATCACCTCAGCAGAATTACAAGCCCTTGGACGACAAGTTGAGAAACTCCAAAGACATTACTCTGCCTGTCTCCCAGTTCCCTTGTTTGATTCTGTGTGTCATGTCAGTCCTGGAGATTCAGTATGGGTTAAAAATTGGAGACCAGAGCCCTTAGGGCCAAGGTGGGAGGGACCTTTCACTGTTTTACTCAGTTCCCCTACAGCTGTGAAGGTCGTTGAGAGGAAACCCTGGATCCACTGGACGAATTTGAAGCTTGCCCATACTAGATGGACTGCTGAGCCAGGATCTAATCCTACTACTGTGAAGCTTAGACGTGTCGTGCCCAGTAATCCAGCAAGCTCTGCTTCTCTTGGGCCCACGCCCCAAGAGGACACAGCTGAAGATTGACTCCAGAACCCCTGCTGAGACCTACCGGAAACGGTCTCCCTGCGCACGGGTGAAAAATCAGACCTTCGTTGGAGCATCAGGCCCTGCTCTAGTCACACCGGAAGCTGACTAGTCGACGCACAGGCCCAAGATGTGGATGCTTCTGTTAAATTGTGTTTTTGTACCTTCTATGATCTGCATCCCAGTTATGGGGTTTCCTGCTTGTACCTCTTGCATTACTTCCACTTTTCGTGAAGGTCAAGTCTCACAAACCCTCATTTATCATTCTGACTTTGATTGTATTTCGTCTGTAGTTACCCAATGTTCTCATGAGGGCATAAGTTACAGTGTTTGTGTAAATCAAGGGAAATTTATGTGCTTTCGACCCCAGTCCAATGTGACTCGGGCCCGTATTAATGTTTATGCTTATATTAGTGGATGGTACACAAGTCCTGATACTTTCACCTCTTCCCTTTTAGCGTCCAATGTCACTTCCCAGTCTAGTCAAAGTATGCAAGTCTGTTTTGACATATGTCATGCCATCTCTCGAAGTCGAAAGTATAGTGCAGGGGAAATTAGACAAACGTGTGGAGGGCTAGCTAAAGAGCAGAGCTATGCCAAAGAAGGGAAAATGTTTCTGTCATCAACTTATGAACTTGAAGCACAAGTCTGGTATGTCTCTAATGATGGTAATATCTCAGATGGACCTCAAGGTGGAATAGTGGGAGGAGGGAAAGCCCACCCGTACTTTAAGTTATCCCAGGGAACTAGTCTAACCCCTTGCAGCCATAACCACTGCACTCCCTTGTGCTTACATTTCCGAGCATCCGAGAACCAGGGAAGAAAGAAACTGATGTATGGGGTTGGCATAGATATTGGTGGTCGAAAAAGTCCATACGGACGCATTGTCATAGAAACTATTAGTTCAAAAATCCAAAGCACTGAAATGAAGATTCACACAACCTTTTGGTCAGAAATGGGGAAAGTAATAGAAATCCCCCCAGTGACCAAGAATCTATTTATCGATCTTGCTGAAAGAATTGCAGGAGAACTATCAGTTAAGAATTGTTATGTCTGTGGAGGTACCAATATGGGAGAACAATGGCCCTGGGAGGCCAAAGAGGTAGAACTTAATAATATCTCCCATGCTTTCAACCTTTCCTGGAATAATATCCACCGCCCCAGTAGATGGATCCTGAAAAATCCCTTAGTTGGTCATACTTGTTTTATACGACAGGGAGCTCCTTTTAACATTTCAGTGGGAGCCCTAGATTGTGAAGAAGGATGGTTCTGTAATGGCACCCAGCCTAAAGCCTATATTAATTTTGCTAATCCGAATGTCACCCAAGCCCCACCTTATGTTAATATGAGTCGTTTACAAGTCCTATGGGACAACCCCTGTAGCACTTCTAAAGAATGGAGAGCTCCAGACTCCTTATACTGGATATGTGGTTCAGCTGCCTATGCAACCCTGCCCCTTACATGGAATGGTGCTTGTATATTAGGTACTATAAAACCTAGCTTTTTCCTCCTACCCCTCACTGTCGGAGAAAGGTTAGGAGTCCCAGTATATGATGAGTTAGGACGCTCAAAGCGAGAAATACGGGGATTAGCTGTAGGTAACTGGAAAGATGATGAATGGCCTCCAGAACGTATTATTCAAGTATATGGTCCAGCTACCTGGGCAGCTGATGGTACATATGGTTATAGAACCCCCATTTATATGCTAAATCGAATAATTAGACTACAAGCGGTTTTAGAAATCATAACTAATGAAACTTCCCTGGCTCTGTCTGTATTAGCCGAAACCAACACACAACTTCGCACTGCTGTTTACCAGAACCGACTTGCCTTAGATTTCTTATTAGCAACTGAAGGAGGAGTTTGTGGAAAGTTTAACCTTTCAAATTGTTGTTTACAGATTGATGACAATGGTAAAGCTATTGAACAGATTACAGAACATATGCGTAATTTAGCCCATGTCCCAGTCCAAACCTGGACAGGAATAGATACTGAAGATTGGTTCGGAAACATACTTGGAGATTGGAAACGTATATTGTTCTTAATAGCTTTAGCCTTTGGTGGTTTGTTACTTCTCCCTTGTTTGATACCTTTGGTTAAGAATGTAGCTACCAAAACAGTTAATGCAATGTTAGCTCACAATGATACTGTTAAACTTTTATATTTGGTTACTGCTAAAAGGAACAGGTTGAACACTAATGCATAAATTCTTCCACAGGTTAAAGAAGAAAAGTACTGTTAGTTACTGTATACTCTCCAGGCAAGGAATAAATGCTATGCCATGTTATTGGTCGGTCTCTCTCTCTGTCCCAGAGAAAGGACCGAAAGGGGGGAATGAAGTAGGCATTTATTATTCCTTGCCCATATAAGGGGATAGTTGCTGTTCATGTTCCAGTCATAAGGGGGCAGAAGTGAGCTTGTGTAGTTTGGGAGGGAAAAGTAAGCCTAGTCAATGGAAAATTCCACTCTGGTGATGTAAATGATGACGTGTAACCTTGTTGCAGTATAAAAGCCTGGAGCCTGCATTGCTCTGGGTTCAGTCTGTTTAAAGCGTGCTTCGCTGACTGAACCGGCGCCAATAAAGTTCTTCTCCTTCTGTTGATCTGGTGGTCTGTGCTTGGGCTTAGGCCCCTTTCTCCGTGCTACAGAGAGAAACACACACACAAAAAATGCGCATAAAAGTAGGCCACGATCCAGCCAAAGTGATACTTTCTTAAAAGTCTCATTGCTCTTCCCCTCCATAAACAGCTCCTTAACTTCCCCATGGGCATTAATAGCGTGGGGAGGGGGGGCAAATAGCTTGTAGTGCAGTTCAGTTTTCCGATACGCTCTAGATGTTTAGTGCAAGAAAGCTAGGAGAAAGATAGTTTCTTTTTAAAACTAGGTCAAATTGAAAACTCTCTTATTTGCGTTGGCTGTGGGGTTTTTTGTAAAAAAAGCTCTGTGATGTTTGCTTTGTCCGATTCTTAATGCCGCAAGATAGGTGCTGATTTTACACATGTTAGCAGAAAGGCTTAATGGAAATGTGATCAGATTTGGATATGCTGCCTGGCTGAGATCCGTTTTTATCCAGGGATGAGCAGAGACTGCAAATATCCACGCTGGGCTAGGCCCAAGTTAATGAGCTGGATTGACGCCCCTTCTCTCAGAGATTCCGTCCAGAGAAAAACAGAGAGATTCTTGATGCTTTCCATTCCCCGTCCCACTAATTAGCAAATAAATGGAAGCAGCTCTGCAGAGCACATATATTGTATTTTTCAAGCAGGGCTCTTTTCCTTGTGCCTGTGAAACGTGAAGGTAAATGTAGTGTCTAATACAAGATGTAATCCACAGACTTCATTTTTAAGCAAGTCCCTAGTTCTTAGGCCTGGGGGGACATAGGGGATGTAGCTCATCTACCATTCCAGTCTCCAGGTAGGGTTGCCAGACCCCCTGATGGGGGTGCGGGTGGGGGTCCCCGGTTTCTGGTGCTCCTCTCCACTGTGGCCAGCTGGCTACATGGGGGGGGGGCTTACCCTCCTAAACAGGCAAGAAGCTGGAAATAAACGTGATGTGCTTCTGTCACCCAAAAGTGATGTAGGTGTATCAGTGACATGAGGGGGGTATGCTCTGGTTCTGGGGCAAAACTCTATGGTTAGAAGCTAATTCTACCATAGAGGTTTTCTCCACAAACCACAGTGTCACCCCTGACATCCCTGATGGGCCTACGATTTGAACCTGGGTCTCCCCGATCCTGGTCTGACACTCCGCCCACTGCCCCTCGCTACCATCTCCCGGTCTATGTTGCTTAGCCTATCTAACCTGAGTCCGTTCCCTGTGCAGGTGCTTCAAGGCGCAGCCACCTGTTTCTATGCCTTCATTGGGTTTGACATCATCGCCACCACTGGAGAAGAAGCCAAGAGCCCCAACACTTCTATCCCTTATGCCATCACGGCCTCACTGGTCACCTGCCTGACAGCCTATGTCTCTGTAAGTATCAGACTACCAAGCTCTACTTTGTCCTGGACAGTGCCCTGATTATTTTATACAGAGGTGCAGAATGGTGGGTAAGAGTGCGAACCGTTCTCCCCAGTGCGACTCTTGCCTCAACACGTGAACTTAACAAGTGGCTCTAGTAGACCATGTGCAATGTGGAGACCAGTGATACTGACCTGCCTTACATAAGTGTTGAACATCTAAAGAACAATAGCGACCTACAGTCTGCTGGGGTCCAGGCCATATTATTATTATTATTATTGTTATTATTATTATTATTAGTAGTAGTAGTGGTAGTGGTAGTGGTAGTAGTAGTAGTAGTAGTAGTAGTAGTAGTAGTAGTAGTAGTAGTAGTAGTAGTAGTAGTAGTAAATGAATCCCGCCCTCGCGACCAAGGCCGGCTTGGGGCGGCTTACAAACAAGTAAAAGTCACACAAAACATCATAGTAAAATCACATACATTAACATAAGAACATAAGAGCCGCCAATGTTGGATCAGGCCAAAGGCCCATCCAGTCCAACACTCTGTGTCACACAGTGGCCAGAAATACCAGATGCCATCAGGAGGTCCACCAGTGGGGCCAGGACATTAGAAGCCCTCCCACTGTTGACCCCCCCCCATGCACCAAGAAGACAGAGCATCACTTGCCCCAGAGCCCCTAGCTATACCTTGTGGCTAATAGCCACTGATGGACCTCTGCTCCATATGCTTATCTAATTCCCTTTTGAAGCCGTCCATGCTTGTAGCAGCCACCACTTCCTGTGGCAGTGAATTCCATGTGTTAATCACTCTTTGGGTGAAGAAGGACTTCCTTTTATCCGTTCTAACCCGACCGCTCAGCAATTTCATGGAGTGCCCACGAGTTCTTGTATTGTGAGATACAATATTATATATTAATAGATACTATTAATATTATATTATATTTTATATAATTATATATTAATAGATACAGTATTAAAATTCAAACAAAATAAAGTCACTTTCATGGGCCCTGCCCCCTTCCTCCATTAAAAATATTTTAGAATATATTTGATGACTGAGTTCGTATAAAGATGAAAGAAGAAAACGAAGACGATGACAAGGTGGAGGAGGAGGAGGAGGAGATTGGATTTATATCCCGCCCTTTACTCAGAGTCTCAGAGCAGTTTACAAACTCCTTTCTCTTCCCCTCCCCACAACAGACACCCTGTGAGGTAGGTGGGGCTGACAGAGCAATTTCCAGAACTGTCCTTGAGAGAACAACTCTGACAGAACTATGGCTTGCCCAAGGTCATCCAGCAGCTGCAAGTGGAGGAGTGGGGAATCAAACCCGTTTCTCCCAGATTAGAGTCTGCACATTTAACCACTACACCAAACTGGTATAAAGATGGATATAATGCAGGCTGGATTATATTTGTCTTTACATTTACATTTGACAGGCCTTTATTGGCATACGTATACGCATACCATAGGAGATCAGATTAAATATAGATCGGAAAATACAAATCCATATAGGGTAAAATTGGAGCTACGGCGCAGAAAAACAGCATGGAAGCAGAAAAACCTAATGGTTAATTATCAGAACATATAGCCATAGCACTAAGAAGAAACCTTGCTACTATTTCGGTTATTTCCATATCTTGATTATCAAACAAAAACAGAACCTTAAAATCATCAGGAATCTCTGAGAATTGAGCTAATATAGGATACAGAGGATCCATATTTGTCTTTATAACAATGCAGTCGAAGTATGTACTAGGGTTGCCAGGCCCCCTGGTAGAGGCCGGGAGTCCCCTGCTGCCATGTATGGCTAGACCCCATCGCCCTGCTGTCAATCAGTTAATAAGTTAATATAAGTTAAATAGCTCCAGTGAGAATTATTAAATTAAGTTGGTGGCAGTTAATATGGGACTGACCTTTTGATTTGAATTGTATGTATAGTTGTTTTGGTTTGTATTTTACGTATTAGTGTTCTATGTGTGTAGTTGGACTTTCAAGCCGTAAAGGCACGAAAATAAATTATTACTATTACATTTAAGGTTTTTCTTATTTAAGAAGAAATAAAATATTTTTGTAGTCCCTAAAAGTTTGGTGGGCAGAAGGTATGCATACCTTCGTGGGCCCCTGCCATCATAATAATCTATTAAAATTTTATTTTTGATATAACTTTAAATACGTCAACATTTTTCTGTTTTAGGCAAAATGTAGTAAATTTTTGTGAGCCCAAAGATTTCCTTTTTTTCTAATGTGAGAAAAAAATTAAAACATTTTCTTCGACCCTAAAAGTTCTTCTTCTTCTGATTTTAAAAGAAATTAAAATGTTTTTCTGGGCCCCTAAGAGTATCTTAGCCGTAGGCACTGTGCCTACTGTGCCAAATGGATAAGTCATCCCTGATTAGGGTGTCTGTGGTCATGTCCAAACAAACCAAACCCCTTTTGCTTTTAAAATCTGCTCAAATGCATCCTTATTGACCAACAGTTAGATCCTAAAATGCCCTCTGCTGACAGAAGGAGATCTTCCCGAAGTCAATGCACTCCTTTGGATCCAACACAAAAGTTTATCTGAGGGTGACACTAGGAATGTCTGGAATGCAGGGGTCATTTCGTAGAAAAGGAAGTGCAGGAGCTCATTAGCATAACTCATTAGCATAACTTATTTGCATATGCCACACCCCCTGACATCACCGGAAGTGTGTCAGAAGGCAACACCCACCGCTCAGGCTCCACTGGACTGTTTTGGATTGCCAGCTATTGGGGGGGGGGGACATGCAGATCTGTCTTCGCAGAGGAGGGAGGAGGGAGAGCTTGTACCTGAATAAAACTTGGTCTTAAAAGTGTCACTGGACTGTTTTGGACTGGGGGGCTGGGGGGAGCTCTGCAACTTACCTGGCTGCTTCTTGCTCTGACTGAGGGCTGCTGGGAGCAGGGGGTGGGGCTTGTTGCACGTGCCCGCCCCCTGGGCTCTTTACTGCCGGAGCTCCGCTCCTGTGCGCTCCTGCAGGAAATGACCCCTGCCAGAATGGATCTTCCCATATCTTTTCTTTTCTTCTCTAAACATCAGGAGGATGGGGGTTTGGTTCAGATCAGGACCATGGTATATGGGATGAGATTGGGAGTTAAACCTCCCCCGCACCGTTTTCCCAATCTGAAATAGCCCCAGAGAGCTGCTGTTTGTCCCAAATGAGGGCAAAATAGTAGGTTCTCAGGGGCATTTTAGGTCAGGAAAATGGTACAGGGGAAAGGCTTAAAATTCCCCTCCCTTCATACCACAGTCCCAGTGCAAATTGAGCTTCTGCACACGTGGGTTTTAGCGCAAAGGAAATACTGAGAGCTGCATTCAAGGAACAACCTAATGTCATGCCTGTGTGGCCACCGAGTAGCTTGTACCATGTGCTAGAGCAGAGTCCTCAACTTAGTGGCTGAGGACACTGCGGCACACACTGACACCTTTCCTGGTACCTGCTGTGTGCTTTAAAAAGTGGGTGGGGCCAGGTGGAGTTTCTGCCCAGCAAGGTTTCTGATTGGCCATTGGATATTTGATTGGCTGTGCAGATTTTATAAGTATTGTTTTGGCAGAAGCTGCCACCACAGCACAAGGATCTTCACTGTGTGACTGAAGGTGACTGAAGGTAAACGGTGGCAGGTTCAGGCGGGGGATCCCCCAGTTTCAGGGGCTTCTCCTTGCCATGGACCAGCCAGTCAGCAGGGGGAAACCCCACTCCTAAACAGAGACGTCTCATGGGGAAGTGACATCATGGCGTCAGGGACATCGCACAGGGACACTCTGGTATTTGAGCAAACTCTATGGTTTGAAGGTTATAAAAAAAAAACTGTAATGCCCCCCAAATCCCCCTGCCAGAGCAATGAGGGGATTCTGTGGCAGCCATTTTGTGGCTGCACCCCCCATGCTATATCAGAATTCCAAGGGGGCCTGCAGGCTCAAAAAGGTTGAGAACCCCTGTGGTAGAAGGTACCTTCAAATTTAAGATTATCTCAAGCATTCAGTTCATAGTCTGAATATGAGGAGGGGCAATTGAGCGAGTAAGAAGATGTTTCCAGACAATTTTTTGTGACAAATAATAAGAGATGCCATTTTCTGCACTTCGGTCCCATACTTTTCAGACCAATCAGCTAGCGCTGTTGTTGCTCAGTAGGGCCAAGAGGGATTAAGTTGCATTTGCAGTGTGTTCACAGACATTAAAAATATGCAAGTGGAGATGTAGAGTTTGTAGTACATATTCTGTGTCCATTCTTCATTCAAATACTCACACACATATGCACACACATTCACATTACTAACACACAACCCATGTACTATTCACCCTCCCTATTCACATACCACTCCCACACACACCATTCACGTACTTAGTCTAACAAGTCAACTACTATTGTGCTGGTTCTGCCTCCTCAGTTCTCTGCAGTCCTTCCCAACAACAGCATCATCTATCTTTAGGCCTTGTATGTTGACAGTTATTTAAACTTCTGAACAATTGGAATATTTATGAACATTCCATAACATTTCAACAACAGAGTGAGTGGCAAGAGAAGGCCCATTGGGGGGCGGGAATTGTAGCTATAAAGGCCAGTAGATACAGAGGTAGCCTGAATTTATTTCAGAGTGGTGGTGGTTGTTTTTTCTGTTGGCAAATGTATCTGATTTGGGAGGCAAATTGACAAAGTTACTGTTTTCCTGTAAGCATATTTCATCTCGTCTTTCACGCATCATTGCCTATGTCCATTCCAATTACCCTAGCGGGTTATCCAAAATTGACTTTGACTTCCGAAATATACAGACAGCTAAAATCTGCTTTAAAATCAAGTTGGAAGGGCAGTGCTGTGGTCTTGTGTGTTGTCAGTTGTTTAAACTTCTGAACAACTGGAATGTTCATAAATATTCCGTACCACCCAGCAGCTGAGCCGATGGCTATAATTGTACTCCAGCTGAGGCCCTTCCACACTTGGATATCTGAAATCCTTTAGGCATGTAAAAGGGCATTAAATACATGCTGCTGCCATATACAACCAGGACTTACCATAGGTTGCTTCTTTCCTCTACAACAGGTGAGTATTATCCTAACTCTGATGGTGCCATACAATGATATCGATACCGAATCCCCCCTAATGGAGATGTTTGCGGTCCACGGATTCTATGCTGCGAAGTTCATCGTTGCCATTGGATCTGTTGCTGGGCTGACAGTGAGCTTGCTGGGCTCCCTCTTCCCAATGCCTCGTGTAATTTATGCTATGGCAGGCGATGGGCTTCTCTTCAGGTAAGCTCCATGTACTTGAACAGTCATCTTCAAAATGGTGCCCCGCCCACTTCCTTCTCCCCCAAAGCAGAGATCTAATCTTGCCTTCCTTCCATCTCACTAATCAGGAGGTGCTTGAGAACAGGGATGTAAAATGTAAAATGTTTAACTTTTAAACAATAAGGATTCATTTACCATTCATACATTGCTGTAAACATTTAAACGTTAAGAGGAATGGATGGACAGAACTCCTTGTGTTGATGCAGCTGCACAGAAAGAGCTGGCTGAGCAGAGAGTTGATCAGTTCCCTTCTGTTGCTGTGCCAGTAGGCAATTCTCATGCATCTGGATAATCTACCTGCTCAGCAGGATCATAGGCTGCCCTAAGGGGAAGAGTGGCCTGAAGTGAATTACAGCGACAAACACTTCTGATGCTACTTCCTAAAGTATCGTGATTTCACTTCTAGTGTCAAAACAGGAAGTGACATTATGACGCTCTAGGAATCTCCAAATCTCTATGGTTTTATCATAGAGATTTGAAAACTCCTAGAACATCATGATGTCACTTCCTGTTCTGTAACAGAAAGTGTCTACTGGCATCAGCTAATGCCATCCCTCCATTCTACCTGCTGCCCATGGGTGATAATGGTGGACGGGGAGCATCACCAGCAGATCCCCCTCTAGAACTGGGTAAGCAACAACTGTTTTCTTAAGGTTCTGGTCTGAGCATGGGCAGTACTGCTCCCTGCCTTCAAGATTTTCTGGCGTATCCCTGAATTTCTTGAACTCTAGTACTTTGTACCGCAGTGTTAGCCGCCCTGAGCCTGCTTGCGGGATGGGCGGGGTACAAATATAATAAATAAATAAATAAATACTTCTGGTGACTGCTGGTATCATTTACTGTACTGGGCCATCTCTGCCCCTAAATTCACAGTAAAGAGTTGATGTTTCATATGTTCTTTTTAAATTTTGATTCTTTCATACTCTAGATTCCTATCCCATGTAAGTTCCTACACTGAGACTCCTGTGGTAGCTTGCATTGTCTCAGGATGCCTTGCAGCGCTCCTCTCCCTCCTTGTCAGCCTCAGGGACTTGATAGAGATGATGTCCATCGGCACACTGCTTGCCTACACTTTGGTCTCCGTATGTGTCCTACTTCTCCGGTACCAGCCAGAGAGTGACATCGACGGCTTTGTCAAATTCCTTTCTGAAGAGCACACAAAGAAGAAAGAAGGGATTTTAGCGGACTGTGAAAAGGAAGCTTGCTCTCCAGTTAGTGAAGGGGAGGAGTTTGCAGGCCCACCAACCAACACGTGTGGAGCAAAGAACCTCCCATCTTTGGGAGACAATGAGATGCTCATTGGGAAATCGGATAAATCCGCCTACAATGTCAACCACCCTAACTATGGCACAGTCGACATGACTTCAGGAATCGAGGCGGATGAGTCAGAAAACATCTACCTCATCAAGCTGAAGAAGCTCATAGGGCCGCGATACTACACGATGAGGATCCACCTTGGTTTACCTGGGAAAATGGATCGGCCCACTGCAGCTACTGGTCAGACCGTCACCACGTGTGTGCTGTTGCTCTTTATCCTTATGTTCATCTTCTGCTCTTTCATCATTTTTGGGGTGGACTATCTCTACGACCAAAGTTGGTGGGCCATTCTTCTGGTGGTGCTGATGGTCCTGCTGATTGTCGTCTTGGTCTTTGTCATCCTTCAACAGCCAGAAAACCCCAAAAAGCTGCCCTATATGGCCCCATGTCTGCCTTTTGTTCCTGCCTTCGCAATGCTTGTAAACATCTATCTCATGCTCAAACTTTCAAGGATCACGTGGATCCGGTTTGCCGTCTGGTGTTTTGTGGGTAAGTCTTGAAAGTGGGAAACAGCCTGATAAGTCCATGGAAGAGATGCTCGGAGATTTAGGTTGTAATCCTCCATCTCGGGAACTTCTGCTCTATCTAAATTAAATATCTTCCCTCTTCTGCTTCAAAACAATAGCAAAAATTTAATCAGATGGCTTGTGTAGAATCGGTTCAGCTTAATATCTTTCATAGTGCCGTCCATTGTAAGCATGAGTGATGACTTTGACCTGTATTTGTACTGATTGTTAAAGTTGGGTCAGCTTGATGTTACTGACTTCCATTTTAAGAGGCAGAACTCCATTTTCAGAGCCAATAAAGTGAGGCCAGTATAAAGAGGCAACTTGAGGTGGTCAAATCAGCTAATATAACTGGGGAGGGCAGCAACTTCCAAACCCACTAGACTCACCTGCTAGTGTTCCCAACGCTGTGTTGGCAAACTCTGGAAGATATAGGTGGCGGTGCCTGGAGAGGATGGAGTTTAGGGAGGATATGATGTCACTTCCGAGTAATACTCTAGGCTGTTAATAATTAAGTGTTATCAAGTCACAACCAACTTCCGCCAAGCCCTCATGGTATTTTCAGGGCAAGAGACATTCAGAGGTGGTTTGCCATTATCTGCCTCTGCGTCTGCCTCTGGACTTTCATGGTGGTCTCCAATCCAGGTACTAACCAGGGCCGACCCTGCTTAGTTTCCAATACGCTGGGGTCTTCAGGCTACCATACTACCTGTTACCTGATCCTTTTAATTGAAGATGCCAGGGATTGAACCCAGGACCTTCTGCATGCAAAACATGCTCTGCAACTTGGCCATGGCTCATTCCTTAGGAAATAAGGCACAGACTGGAAGGGGGGGGGGGAAACGCTGAAATGAATTAACATACCGTAGGATTTGTGTGTGTGTGTGTGTGTTTGTTTCTGTGTGTGTACCCTTTACCTTTTGTATTTAAAAACATAAATTTTGGGGAGGAAGCATTCGTCGGGTGGTGGGTAATGTATCTGGGAATTTCATGCTCAACTGGATGCCAGAGTGGGAATTGCAGACAGAAATGTGTCTTCCATAGAAACCAGTGGAAATGAGTACCTTATGACTAACCCAAACCCATGCCATTATGATGCTAGAAAATCTGCATAACACGATGGGAAAAACAAACCAAATCTGAACCCAAATAAAATGGTTGCATCCAGGGGTCGTTTCGTAGAAAAAGAGTTAGGGGAACTCATTAACATAACTCATTAGCATATGCCACACCTCCTGACATCACCGGAAGTGTGTCATAAGGCCACACACCCTGACATCACCGGAAGTGTGTCATGAGGCCACACCCCCCACCCCCAACGGTCCCGACCGCCGCCGCCGGCCTTGCAGCTCCACTGCCGAGCCCCATGAGGGGCCCGGCAGTGGACCTGCAAGGCCGGCGGGAGTGCAAGGAAGCCCCGCAAAGGCCCTCCCTGGCCCCAGGCCGGCGGGGTGGGGAGAGGCAGGGAGGAAGCAACTTACCCTCCCTCTTCTCCTGCCTCCTCCTGGCTGAATGAGGGCCGGAAGCAGGGCGGCCGGAAGCAGGGGGCGGGGCTTCGTCATGTGCCCCACCACCGTACCTCACCCGGGGGAACTGCGATCCCCCACGATCCCCCCCAAAATGACCTCTGGTTGCATCCATCCCCAGTATTTACAGGCTCACGTGGGTCTGAAATGTTTCATGTAGGATTATAGTACTAATTCATACCACAGGGAAGAGATGTTTACTGTCAAACCCTCCTTCCTCCTGCAGGGTTGCTGATTTATTTTGGCTACGGCATATGGAACAGCACACTGGAGATCACCGCTCGGGAAGAGGCTCTCCACCAGAGCACGTACCAGCGCTACGACACCGACGTCGATCCCTTCTCGGTTGAAGACGGCTTTTCCTATGCCGAAACAGAAAAATACCAGGACTGGGACCCTGCCGACGACAAAGGTTTCACTTACCAGCAGATATCAGAAGCCCAGGGAAGCAGTCGGACAAGTAGCAAATCCAAAAGTAAAGGGAAACACAAACCGAACTCAGATGCCCTGATTTCCAACGATGAGTTGGACTACTCGCCAGAGTAGGTGCAATGAGAACACGAGGCGTTCCACTTTTTGTCACTAAAGCTAAACCCTTGGGCTACAAAACAAAGGCTTCTTTTGATCCTCGTGTCCAAATCCCACCCTTTCAATAAAGTTTCTGTTTTCAGAAATGATATCATTCACGCGCTCACGCACTTGCTCACTTTTCTGCTCTTCAGGACGGTTCTGTCCAGCACTGATCCTGAATTAACAGAACACCAAATTTAAAAACCAAAAACAAAATGAGAAGTCCCTCATTTCTGCCACCATTCATGATCCCAAATTCCCTGAGTGTTGCCAGCGTCTCAGCCCACAGATGGGCTGGTTTGGCGGGGCAGAGTCTTTCTGGGCATAGCGTAAGCATCAGACGAGACCTTTCCAGCTGTGGTCTTCTTATAGTTTTAGTGGAGAACATGCCCAGCGCCTTGGGTGCCTGATCAGCTATGTCAAGTTCCGCGGGAAAGGCAAAATGCTTTCCCTGTGGAAGATACTCAGTTGTGGCCGCAATGGTATAGAGCAACTGTTGGGTTATTTGGCAGGGTATATCAGGTTTTGACCTTTCATTTTTTAGAATGTGAGTACCGAGTCAATAGGCAGATCTATGCAGGTAGAAGGCTGTAACATTGTCACTGAGATTGACTCATGAACAGAAGAGTGATCCAACGATGACAGTAATTCAGACCAGTATTGGCCCCATGGGAACAAATAACACCTTTTCACTAAAACAAAATACTGTTGTCTTTTGACACTGGTGGATGATCCTTTGTCCCCCCCCCCATTTCTCACTTCATCTTGTTCTGAATTCATTCCGTCCCAATTATCTGACTTGTTTCCTAATGAATTATGGTAGGACATTATATGTCACGACCACCAGTAGCACATCAGGCAATCTACAGTGGCCTCTTTGTGAGTTATCTGTGGATGCCCCGTCAATACGTTCAGCCATTTTATTCAGTACATCCAAATGGACACTTCAGCTGTCCAGAATCACTGAGAATGTCCTGTCCTATCCTGGGTTATCTCAATCAGAATGATGTGCCAGACACGGTCTGGACGCCACCTGGTTGTGATTTTAGTGTCATGGCACTCAGAGCCAAGCTACATGATTGGTCGGTTCACAGGACAGAGCCCTTGTGACACTATACCACTTCTGATTATGGAGGAGTCTCATATTTGAATGTTCTCCTACCGCTTACAGATAGAAAAACCAGCTTGTTGAGCTAGCCTGGAATCCTTCTCCTTCACATGCGCACTAAGTACAGCAACATTTCAATATGGTGGAGCCTTCGAAGAGCACATCAAAAGCTGCAGCAAGTGGTTCTGCCGATCATGGATCTCAGCTCTGACTCTGAAGACCTCCATTTAAGAATGGCCAGAAAGTCAAACTTGAAACTACAGTTAATTGGCTTTAAAAATCTCATTTCATTTTATTACTTAAGACAGACTGAAGCAGAATAAGTTCAGACTAAGAATCAAATGTCCTGGGGTTTAGGTTTTGTATAATTGCAGAGCGGTAGCCATGCCCGTCTGTTGTAGCGAAATAAAACAGAAGTCCAGTGGGCACCTTAAAAATTAATTATATTTATTCCAGCATGTGATTTTATGAGTCAGAGCTCACGTCTTCAGATGCCGTGGAAGGCTCTGAATCACAAATGCTCAAGCAGCAATAAAGTCATTCATCTTTAAGGTGGCAATGGTTTTTTTAAAAATTTAGGTCATATATAGCTATGCTTCAAGCAAATCAGGGCCCACATGGGTGTAGTCCAGTCCCACTCCGTAAATATCCGAATCTAAATATTCTAAGTGGTTTAGTGTTTCCAATCTGTAACTATTCTGCAACTTTAACTCACTAATAGCTAACCCTAAGGGAGTGTTCTAACTGCTGCACCAAGCATAGGTTTACACTGAGGCAGTTAATGCTTCAATCCTCAGTATGCGGTTTTTGTTGTTGTTGGGGTTTTTTGTTTGTTTCTTATGGAGATGCAAGGGATTGAACCTGTGACCTTCTGCATGCTAAGCAGATGCTCTGCGAGTGAGCCACAGCCCCTCCCCTCAGTAAACATATCAGATCAGGCTACACAAGCAGGTTGGAGAGGAAACAGGAACATCTTTGCTCCCTCAACTGGTTCTGCAGATCCATGTCTGCTTGCAGAAGGCTCTGTAGCCAAAATACACTGAAGAGACAGAGAGCATCCTTCAATTGCTTCCAGGCTAGAAGAAGCAGATTTGCTCTGGCCTGGCCTCTCCCTCCCTCTCTCCCTTCCTCAAGCCAACCAAAATCTAACTCCTGCATATGGAAGGCACCTGTATGCAAGTGGAACAATCCACAGCCCATTGGTTTGCCTACCACTTACCTTTGCCCTTTTAAATGCTGACCACGTAACTCAGGAGGAAATTTAAGACAGGGCATTTCAGTCTCTCTCTTCTAAAAGAAATGCCGATCCCTTGCAAGACACAGAAATAGAGCGTTCCTTGGATTCCACTCCTAGTATATACAGCACCATCCCTGTCTTCAAACAATAATATATTTATTTACATCATGGGTCACGGCCAAGAGGACACAGGGCTCTATATAAACATGATCCCCGGAACCCTGTGGAGCACTCCATGGTGGTCGAGAAGAGGGGAGGTGGTAACCTTTGGCTGATGCTCAGAGAAAGCAAAAAGTAGACGGAATGACTTGGAAGGCAGGTTTCCTAAAGAGTGAGGAAGAGCTTTGAAGCTTCCGCCGTTTCTTGTACGCTTCTGCAACATCTCTGTCTGTGATCCCAACTGTCTCAGCATGCTATCCATGAATGCTCCCTACAGGGATGCCAGCTCTGGGCTGGGAAATACCTTGAGATCTGGGGGGAAAGTCTGGGGAGGGTGGGGTTTGAGGAGTGGGGAGACTTTAGCAGGGTATAATGCCATAGAGTCCGGCCATTTTCTCCTGGAGAACTGATCTTGTTTGTCTAGAGATCAATTGTAATTCCAGATCTTCAGGTGCCACCTTAAGGTTGGTGACCCCAGCTCCATTCCTCCATACTAATACTCCTTTGTCAAGCTCTGCCATTTGGTGTAGTGGTTAAGTGCGCGGACTCTAATCTGGGAGAACTGGGTTTGATTCCCCACTCCTCCCCTTGCAGCTGCTGAATGACCTTGGGCAAGCCATAGTTCTGTCAGAGCTGTTCTTGAAAAAGAACAGTTTCTATCAGAGCTCTCTCAGCCCCACCTCCCTCACAGGGTGTCTGTTGTGGGGAGGGGAAGGGAAAGGAGTTTGTAAGCCGCTCTGAGACTCCTTCGGGTAGTGAAGGGCGGGGTATAAATCCAATCTCTTCTCCTTCTCCTTCTTCAACTTGGCCTCTTCACCTGAGATGAGAATTCTTGTGGGAAAGAACTCTGCTGCCACTGCTGTGCAACACTAAACATGCAATAGGTGCTTGACAAATCATGGCTCCCAGGACTGCTTCTTCTGCTAGCAGTAATAGCAGTGGGAATACTGCATGCATATGAGTGTACTAGCATGAAAGCTGGTGGTCAGATATTATTTAAAAAATCCAAAATTTGACTAGAAGGAGCAAGGACTCATCCTTATAGCTAGTAGCAATAGTTCTGCTCCTTCTAATCAATTGTCTCTGGTGGTTAGGGGTGTATGCACAAAAAAAAAAATGGTACCTTTCGGATTTGGGTATAATGGAACCAGAAAATATCGGTGTTTCCCAATATTCCCAAATCCCAATACCAGTATGGTATTTGGGTTGGGGGTTTGGGGGAATCTCTAATTTTTGGGCTTCATTATACCCTACGGGAACCATTATAGTAAATGGTCCCCTCCCCATAGGGTATAATGGGGATGTATCAGGGTATCCAGGGGTCTAGGGTGGCTGTTTTTTGAGGTAGAGGCACCAAATTTGCTGCACAGCTGAGAGCTGCCTCTTCTCAGAAGACCCGCCCAATTTCAAAAATATTGGACCAGGGGGTCGAATTCTGTGGGTCCCCAAAGAGTGTGCCTCCATCCTCCATTGTTTCCAATTGAAGGGAGAAAAAGATGTTTAAAGGGATCATGGTCCCTTTAAATGCCTTCGGCTGTGTGTTCACTCTGAAGGCATTTAAAGGGACTGTGTTCCTTTTAAATGCCCATTAACTGTGGCTATCTGGTATTCCCGGATAATCCCAAACATTTCCAGGATTTTTCAGGATCAGCTATATCGGATAGCCAGAAAGATACTGAAATGTATATTTGGCTGAAATAATAGCTTAAAAATTCTGATATGGTAGTTTCAGCTATTTTTTTCAGCTCGGATGTACCCGAATGCACACCCCTAGTGGTGGTGGAAAGTGCCTTGAAGTCACAGCTGACTTATGGGGACCCCGTGGAGATTTCAAGGCAAGATGTGTTCAGAGGTGGCTTTGCCATTGCCTGCCTCTGCATCGCAACCCTTGTATTCCTTGGTGGTCTCCCATCCAAATACTAGCCAGGACCGAACCTACTTAGCTTCTGAGATCTGACAAGATTGGGCTAGCCTAGGCTATCTTTTTTATATCTGACTGCCTATTTTATTGTTAGAATGCTTATGGCTGAACAGTATTTCTGCTGCCAATACTAATGCTAGTTCCACCAGTACTACTGGTAGCAACAACATCAGTAGAATTATTTATCTCATTGTATGACAGGAACAAAACCTTCCTTAGGTTGCAATCTTTATTCTATTTACTCCAGCGCAGTTCCCAGGACTTTAATAGAAGTTCTCTGAAGCTACAAACTACAGATTTGGGGCATTATTAACCCACTCTGAAAGATCTTTTTCTAGTTTTCCTACCCTGGTTAATTTTTGTAAACAATTATTTGGATGTGGCCTGCTGAAGAGTTCTAGGGAACTCAGAAGCCTGAGGTCACAATTTTTAATACTTTGGTTGGTCCTAATTGAAAAAATCGCCCTTTCCCTATTGTAGATTTGGAAGTGTGTGAACAGGGGGATGGATGCATGTGTAATTGGATATTGTGCCAATGTAATCATTAGTGA